TAGTAACCACCACAGGTTCTGTCTGCAGTTAGGCCTTGTTGAGACAGGTCCTCGGTTGCTTTGGTCTTGCCTCTTGTTTCTTGCTCTGTTTGTCCTTGCATTTATATATACTTGTGAACTCTTAAACTGGCTTTGTGGTCGTTTGCTTGTGCTCAGGCTGTGTGGCGACTTTGTGATCCACCCTGAGCTTTGTGTTTTTGCTTCTCTTGACTTTTCTTCGGACCGTTCGTGTATGTTGCTCTCTCTTGTTGTCCCTCACTTAGCCTATGGGGGTGTGTCAAAGTATATACACGTTGTTGTAGACTGTAGTGAGGCATGCTGTAGGGGGTGTAACACTTTTAGGCATGCTGTTCATACTTGTATCATCCATGATTCCTAGTTTCACCATTCCGCTGTTCTAACTTTGAGAGCCACGTACATGACTGTTCCCGCCACTATATGCCCAACATTAGCCCGTTACCACCTCGCGATACTCGCCTCGAAACTGTTCCCGCCACCACGACACTCGCGCCCAAACCACCCAGCTTGGCTGGTAACCCGCGACCCGGTCTTACGCTTCTAGATTTCCCAACCTCAACATCAGGCCCGTAGGGCACCCTTTCCCTTCGCTCATTGTATTGTTTTGCTTCGGTAGTGCAATCTTCGTTTGTTCACTCGATTGCACTCATAACACTAGGTTACAGGCAATTTCAGGCTATGATTTTGCTCATTAAAGAGTTAGTTTTTGTTGTGTGAATGATGGACCGTAAATCTTTATTGTTACTTGATATATTTTGACACATTGTAGAATCAATTTACTCCTATGAAATGTAGGCCAAATTTGGCCTCAATTCACTCCTATGCGAGAACATTCAGTACGCCCGAAGCGCGCCCGATCAGCACGTCTGGTCGTGCACCCAAGCAAGGGATGTGTCTGACGAAATCGCGCACGTCGGCTATTTTCGTGTTTGTCTCAAAACAGTCAACATAAATTGCCCCGCGCGCCTGATATCGCATCCCGAGCGAATTCGCTGGTGCAGAATGCCTCACGTAGGCGACTCTTCTATCATAGGCGGGACGGCAGGCCTGCACGTAGGCGACTCTTTTATCATAGCAGAACTTCTGAGGCAAAGAAGCGTAAAGGCGCTTTTGCCGCCAACTATGGATATTGCCGGTCCATATATGATGGAGCAGCACAATCCGGATCAAACAACCCTTTCATTTCTTTTCGCACCGGCAACTAAATTTCGCGCTGTGCTTAGTACGTCAGCATGTACCTGCCAAAAGTGCACTGTCGCTTTAGTACTTCTGAGAAAGGATGTACGAGCGGCGATGATTCGGAGTCGTACGAGTAGCAGCAGCAATTTGAAGGATACGCTGTCTTTTCTTGTGATTTCGCGACAGCGCTTTCGCTGCTGCTCCTCGCCTCCCCCGTGCGAAACGGTACGACAAACCCGGTTGTCTCGTCGCCAGACTGCTCGGTTCGCGGGCTCCGTAGTGCGACCGGCCTGCGACGGCTCTTGACAGCGCCTTACGACTACCACGACGACTTAGCAGCTGCTCTACCGATGCCTGCGCAAGGCAGAGCCTCTGCGTTACTGGCAGAGACTCTGCGACCAAATGACGAGAACGATCGAGCCGCCGGCGGAGACGAAGCCGTGTTAAGCGCAAAGATGGTACTGGGGATGATGAATGAGACATCGGAGTCACGAGCGCAAGTCAAGCTCGGCGATTCGGCGGCGGGTAAGACTCGAAGCACGAGCGCTGGCAGTTTCGCGAAAGCGATTTCCACGGTTTCTACTAGTGAGCCTGACGGCAACGTTGTGAAAGTTGTCCTGGACCAGCGGCCTGATCATGGTCCCGTTGCTACTACTATTAACGCTACTACCACCAGTGACAATGGCGCCGGAAGCAGCGGGAGGGAGTGCAGGCGGCGGTCACGAACGGGTCATTGCGTGGCGGAGCTCTTCAGCCTCTACGACGATGCGTACCGGTACGTGCAGTGCATGCACCTCGCCGCTCTCCCTTTCTCTTCTTTCCCCTTTTTTTTGTCTTTGCAAATCTCAGATATGGCAGGCTGTCGTTGTGAGGTGTTTTTCTCGTTTTTAGTCAATTTTATCTGTCACAGGTTATCTCGCTCAGACTCTTATGATCCACATGGCCTTTCTGCTATTATTTGTTGGCAGATCGTTATGGCCTGGTCGCGTGGACCTCGTAATCCGCAGCCACGTGTCAAGCAACTTCTTCCTGCTCGAAATGCTCTTTCACAGCATCGAGCAGATGTGGCCACGTGGCATTGGTGACGTCATCCTCATCCTCGACGGTGACGAGCAAGTGGCCGAGGACCTCATTCCCACGTGGATCAAAGTCTACTACGAGGATAACAGCCTGAAGCTTCCAGGAAAGATCCTGCAGCAGTGGAGCTACCTCTGGGCTGACAACTACACGACAGCCCCTTACGTGGCCCTAATCGATGATGACGTCATCTCTGACTTGAAAGTAACACCCGGGTTACTGTTCAACCTGACGGACGGCAAGCCTTACGTGATTGGCAACGGTCAGCGACAGCTGGACTGCTGGTTACCCTCCACTGAGTTTTTCGTTGGGGAAGACAAGTACTTCGCCAATTTCATGGTGCAGATGTCGTTTCTGGTGCCAACGAGCGTCCTGCCGAAATTCAGGAGCCACGTGGCGAGTCTGCACAAGGATAAGGGCGGCAGTTTTGACTCAGCTTTCAAGTGGTTCTCAAAGCATGGACCTGGGTATAAGCGGACCCAAATCGCTCACACGACCATTGGGAACTACATGTGGGCGTATGCTCATGATGAGGTGCACTGGGCCTTGGAATGGACCAATCACACGCCGATTCCCCGTGTCGGCGTGCATCTGCCCTACACGCAGCTGTTCCGCGTCGCCACAAAGCACGAGCACAACGCTCCACGTGTCATCAAGACATACGTCCAGGAGGCGGCTTATTACGTGCATGAGGGTGTGTGCCATGCTCTGCCTTCTGGAGAGCTCCCTGGGTGTGATGATGTGAATCCTTTCCCTCAGATGCAGATATGGCAGTATGCCATGGATTGATATGACTGGCCTGCTATTAGGAAGATGGAGGCAAATGCTACTATTGTGTATGATCAGTACCGGAGCGAGCTGGCCTGCATGTATTGGAAGGTAGCTCAGGAGGGTGGTGGAGGGGAACCAAGTGTGCTGAGAACGAATGTGCAGGTTAGAGAGGCTGATCCTGCCGGGAGGAGAAGGGATCTCTTGACATCTCTTCAGGAGTGTATCGCCCCAAGGTCATAAAACCAAGCAGCTGAGCTTGGGTGGAAAAATCAGTGAACAAACACGTCATGCTGGGGCTTAACCTACTAGTCTTGTTATTTGTCATTGACTTGCATACTATGGTTGGGGTTCTGTCTGTGCATACATTTGTCCATTATGGTACCCTATAAGATTTTTATCCCACTAGAGATTTAGTTTGGTACCTATATTGCATAGTGGTTAGGGCGTATTCCTATCCTCCTATCAAGAAAACCTCCTATCAAGCTCTCACTGGAAAATTCCCTAAACCCAAAATCTCTCGCTACTTTTACCAGGCAAAAGGTACAATCTTGATAGGAGGTTTCTTGATAGGAGGCCGTAGGAATACGCCCTTAGTATATAGTCAGGTTTGTCACATTAGAACACATCATATTCTGAAGAATGGATCAATCTTACGAAGAAGGTACATGTATTTACAGGAAACCTGTCAGGGGGTTTGAGTGAAGCCCTTGGGAAACCGTCTAGTGGAAAACAGAAATTGGGTTTGTTTACATACTTTGCCATGTCTAATCTTCGCCCATTTCCTCCACTCCGTTCATTTCAAGGGAAAACCGTCCAGGGTTGCGGGTTTATAAACATGTCGCACAATCGGGTCTGCTTGAGACGGGCCACGTGAATGTGCCTGCCATGGAGATGGTTTAGCCCCATCACCACTTGCCACGTGGATTTCTATTCTTCGCGATGCGAAAGCGAATCTTTCATTGTTTGGAATATTTTTGCCGAGGCAGCATGTATATGCCCCCCAATCGCGCCTCCACCAATTTGACAACTAGGTTGTGTTTTCTTTCCACGGTTTCTCCCTTGTGTTTATGTAAGTGTGTTTTTCCTCTGTAAGTCACAACTCCATATTACGGGTTAGGGAGTATAAGTTAATTGTATTGGCAGTTTTCTCGGAAATTAAACTACAGATCGGTTCTCGCCACAAAGAGAGGCTGAAAGTTAATCCGCTGTGAGGAATCTTTTGATCCCAATTGTTTTGCACAAGTCCTAGAGACACGAACTTGTTCACGACGAGGATGAGACCTCATCTCGCGCCGCCATAATCACCACTGTAAATTGTTCACAGAACTCAGATCAGTATTACCTTGTCCTAATTTCCAACTCACACCCATGGCTCGCGGTACTCTCTTCCTGGCTCTTGCCTTGTCCGCCTTGGTACTGTCCCTCGCGACAGCTGCCAATGGCGCGTCTGTCTCCATGCTGCTTTCCAAGATGCGCGCCAGACCGCTCGGCGATCTCCAGGGAACGTCCATGACCTCCGCGCTCCTGCAGTTTGTCTCAGAGAAGGAGGGATTCAATGATGTGAACATAGCAACCATCCTTTCCCCGACCAACCAGGCGTGGGGATCTGCAGTGAGCGGTTACAACAAGACGCTGAACCCCCCTGGCTCGTCGGACATCATTCTCGAGGCGCTTCTGGCAGTCAGGGACAGCGGTGGTGCCACCGGCAGGCTGTATGACGCGTCGTCCGCCGCGCAGAGCGTGCTGGTTCGTCTCATGAAGCAGCTGTCAGTGAACGTCACCGACATTACCAATACCATCATCAACGTGAGTATTTAGGATGTGTTTCTAAGCATTGCGACAGATGGTCTGTTGACATGTGTCTTTGTGTTTACGTGGTGGTGCATGCATGCCAATGTCCACACATGACCAAATTGATTGTTAAAACGTGTGTCACTCTTTCTTTTCTTCCACAGGCCACGAATGGCAACACCGTGAAAAGCATGCTCAACACAACAATCTATGCTCTGAACCCCCTCAACTTTAGCTCCAACTATTTCAAATTCATGAGCTGCATGCCGCCCGGCGCGTACGTCGCGAACAATAGGTCAGTTCCCAAAGGCCTCGCGAACGACACCGACGCCAAGTACGACGGAACGCAGTTCGCGTACGGTCGCGTCATTCGCAGCGAGAAGCTTGTCGCGAACGCCAAGAACCAGACGGTCAACAGCAAGTCGACGACGGACACGGAGCTTAACGACATCTCCGTCGTTCTCTTCCCTGGAGTCGGCCCGCTCATTGCCACGGATGCCACCCCACCCATCGGCTGGATGAACCCTGACAGCCCAGGTAAGCTCACATTCTTTATTTTAGACCGTCGCACTGCTGGTCAGCTGTTCTGAGATTTTAATGATGGTACTTATTCTGATTCGTTCTCGCAATGTCTTGTTCTTGCAGGAAACGCTCTCTCCCCGCTGAAGCCTGTCGTGTTGACGCTGCTGCTTCTGCTTGCTGTTCTAGTCATTTAAGTAGTTGCGTGTGCTGTGCTGTGCACATTGCTTAATCGGAACACCTGTAATGCTCCCGTAGGATTTCTTATCTAGTGGAAATAAACTGAGTTCCCATTTTCTAGCATGCACGCCATCTTCTGCATTGTGGAAACTGTAAGCAAATTTTGAGCCAACCGGTCTCAGCACCTAGGTAGCACTAGGACGAGGCTTAGCATGCTCTCACCAGTGTGCTGCACCATCTCCATTTCCCAGCAATTCCCCTGCACCATACCTGATCATCTCCATCTCCCTCATCCTCTCCCCCACTGCCTCTCCCTCTTGCTCACACTCACTCCCTTTATCTCCCCCTCTCCCTCTCCCTCCCCCTCCCCCTCTCCCTCTCTCCCTCTCCCTCTCTCCCTCTCTCCCTCTCTCCCTCTCTCCCTCTCTCCCTCTCTCCCTCTCTCCCTCTCCCTCTCTCCCTCTCTCCCTCTCTCCCTCTCTCCCTCTCTCCCTCTCTCCCTCTCTCCCTCTCCCTCTCCCTCTCCCCCCTCTCCCCGTCCCCCCCTCTCCTTCTTTCCCTCTCTCGCTCCCTCCCTCTTTCCTCCCTCTCTTACTCTCTCCCTCTCTCCTCCCTCTCTCTCTCGCTCCCTCTCCTCTCCTACGTCTCCCTCTCCCCCTTCCCTTTCCCCTCCCCCTCTTCCTCTCCCTCTCCCTCTCTCTCTCTCTCTCTCTTGCTCGCTCTCCCTTTCCATCTCCCTCTCCCTCTTCCCCTTCCCTTTTCCCTCCCCCTCTTCCTCTCCCTCTCCCACTCACCCTTATCCTCTCCCTCTATCCCTTTCCTCCCCCCTCTCCCTCATTGGTAGGGAACAAGGTGCAAGTACGACACAGACGAGCTAAGAACCAACCAGGATCCAAACTCTATCGTAGTACTTTAACTACCAGCGCCTACGAAGTGGCTGCATGCAAACGACCACACATTCCAAACTAGTAAACAGACCCCGCAAAGGTAAGCAAGAGGGAAAGAGGCAAAACAACAAAGGGATAGGGTGCGAACCAGGCAAAGAGACTAAGGTCTCGACTTTCAGGATTAGCCAAACATCTCCTAGCCATGGCGTGTAGGTATTGGCTGGGGATTGCGGGAAGGCCGGACAGGTTGCACGGTTCAACTTAGCGGGGAGGGTGTTTGGCCTGCCATCGGTGGAGCATCACCGCCGCCCACTGCTGCGTATGCAACAGCCGTCATCGCCTAGATAGTAGGTAGTGTTGGATTGAAGACATAGGTGTCTTTAATACGGGTGGCCGTGGGCTCTCTCCTAGCCACTAGAACCAGTGCCACGCAAGTCCAACTACTGTCCATGCACGTGCAGTAGTGTCTTCTGGCACTAGCTTCTCTGTTGCTGCTGCTGCTGCTGCTGCTGCTGCTGCTCCTCTGTAGCGCACAGTGTTGGGGTAAGGGTCATCTGGGTCTAAGGTTGCAGTGTCTGCAGCTGCCGCATGTCCTCCTCTAGGTCCTCCCCTTCCTCCTCCTCCTCCTCCTCCTCCTCCTCCTCCTCCTCCTCCTCCTCCTCCTCCTCCTCCTCCTCCTCCTCCTCCTCCTCCTCCTCCTCCTCCTCCTCCTCCCCACCTTCTCTTCCCATGAACTCGCTGTTATCACAAGTGGCCCCTCGCATCGACATGTCCTCCGAGACATCCGTCATGCTCCTTGCTCGCAAGTGTGACATGACGAGGTGATTCTCTTGGCCGTCAAGACTGCTGGAAATGCCGCACGTCTTGGAGGCATTGATGATGACCACGTGCGACACATTCTCCCAGGCTTTGGCAGTCCACCTAAACACTACCTCATGCGGCGGCCGCTTCAAGTTTCCTGCACGCACGAGGATAAACAACATCAACGCACGGTGTCACATCAATTTCACCACTCGGATTTTAAAGCCAGCAGGCAAAATAGTGATCCCCAACCCAACTTGAAAGAGTGTTGCGAAGGTCGGGCCGAGAGTGCACTGTTTCAAACGTTGAAGTGTTCAGATTCAACTGATGTGATTGGCTATCGCCAACATGGTTTTTTTAAGGCTCCCTCCCGCCAAATATTTTCTGGCGCTCATGTCAGTTGTCGCATATATACGTGCTGCACCCTCACGACCGTTGTAAAGCGATGGTTTTGGTCGCCAGGCGAAACTTCGGTTTCAAGCTGAATCTGGGTTCACAACTCTGTTTTTCACTCCCGCAGTAACTGGCTTGGGGCCCAAGTAGAGCTGAAATCCTAGTCGACAGTGTCTTAGGCACACAATTTGTACTGAGCTTTAGTGTGTTATGTACCGACTTAGCTTTGGGGCGTAATGGAATACGTAACCCAGTTGTATCGTTAGTTTCCCACCCATCATCCACCTCGTCGCCCGCGCGCTCACCCCGAATCGTCTATCGCCTTTCCTCTCTCCCTTCCTATCATCCACCTCGTCGCCCGCGCGCTTGCCTCGAATCGCCCTCCTGTCGGCCCTGTCAAAACATATTTGTATGTTCTTAGTTCTGCTAGGCTACAGTGAGGTGCTCAGTATAGAGTACAACCCCAGTTAGGGTTTCATACTTGTACCCACATGTTGCTAGTCATTCATCATTCCTCTTCACAGATTCTAACATGGTATCAGAGCGGGTCCCTCCGTAGGACCGCTCCGTTAGGGCCCACCAACCGTACGTACTGCCCCAGGAGCTGCTGCCGTCGTGCGCTGCCCTGCTCGCCGCGCGCTGCCCTGCTCACCGCGCGCTGCCCTGCTCGCCGCGCACTGCCCTACTCGCCGTGCGCTGCCCTGCTTGCTGCGCGCTGCCCTGCCCTGCGCTCTGCCCGCTTGCTGCCCTGCCCTGCAGCCCGCGCGCCGCCCTGCCCTGCAGCCCGCGCGCCGCTCTACCCTGCAGCCCGGCGTCGCCCTGCCCTGCAGCCCGCGTGCCGTCCTGCCCTGCAGCCCACGCGTCGCCCTGCCCTGCAGCCCGCGCGTCGCCCCTGCCCTGCTGCCCGCGCGTCGCCCTGCCCTGCAGCCCGCGCGTCGCCCTGCCCTGCTGCCTGCGCGCCGTCCTGCCCTGCAGCCCGCGCGTCGCCCTGCCCTGCAGCCCGCGCGTCGCCCTGCCCTGCAGCCCGCGCGTCGCCCTGCCCTGCAGCCCGCTCATTGCCCTGCCGTGCAGCCCGCGCGTCGCCCTGCTCTACAGCCCGCGCGTCGCCCTGCCCTGCAGCCCGCGCGCCGCCGTGCCCTGCAGCCCGCTCGTTGCCCTGCCCTGCAGCCCGCGCGCCGCCCTGCCCTGCAGACCGCGCGCTGCCCTGCCCTGCAGCTCGCGCGTCGCCCTGCCTTGCAGCCTGCGCTCTGCCCTGCCCTGCAGCCTGTGCGCTGCCCTGCCACTACAGCGACTACTGCTACTGCTACAGCTGCAGCTACAGCAGTCGCTTATGACGCCCTTGCGCCGCTGCTACTGACTGCCACTGCCTGTCATGGCCACTGTCACGGCCGTAGCAGCGTCTGTCGGTAGACAACAGCAGCTGCCTCACCCGGATACCCTATCGCCGCAGCAGATTCGTGAGTGGGTTATTCAGCGAGGCCGTCCTGGTGGTGGAGGATATATTCCTGGAGGTACTCGACAGCAGTGGCAGTCTCGTAGTCCGGAGACTCTCTCGCCACAGCAACTTCGTGAGTGGGTTATTCAGCGAGCCAGTGCTGGTGGTGGAGGTTTTGGTTTTACCCATCCTAGACAGCAGCGGCAGCAGCGTCAGCAGACGACCCTCTCGCAGCAGCAGCTTTGCGAGGTGGTTTCTCAGCGATGCGTCCCTGGTTGTGCAGAGGCTGCTGCTCTAGGTGCTAGTGAACTGCTGCCGCTCTAGGTGCTAGTGCGTCTGCTGCCACAGGTGCTAGTGAGTCTGCTGCCTCAGCTGACGCCTTACACACTTTCACACTTGACTCTGGCGCGTCTCGTTGCTTCTTTCGTGATTGCACCACAGTCACACCACTCGCTGCACCTGTCCCAGTCTCACTGGCTGACCCCTCTGGGGGCCCCGTCGTCGCACGAGCCTCCACTGTCCTCCCGTATCCGGCAGTCCCCTCCGGCTCTCTTTCAGGCCTCCACCTCCCCTCGTTCTCGACGAACTTGGTGAGCAACGAAGTCCTTCAGGATGTTTGGGTTGATACCTTTATCACTGGAGGGCAGCGTGTGGCGATCTGTACGTGCTCCCGGACTGGACGTCACCTTGCTACGTTCACTCGGCAGCCTGGGTCCAGTCTGTACACCCTGACCGCTGCGTTTGGTCAGGTGGCTGCGTCGGGTCAGGTGGCTGCGTCGAGTCAGATGTCTGCGTCTGGTCAGTTCGCTGCGTCGTGCTCGTGTCGGGTACTCTCCCACCAGAATCTTCTCTGGCACCACTGACTCGGTCACCCCTCTCTGTTGCGTCTCCGCAGCATGCACTCTCGTCTCCTTGTCTCTGGCCTTCCTAGGTCCCTACCCCCCCTCCCGCGCTCGCCTGCCCCGCCGTGCCTTCCCTGCGTCGAGGGGTGGCAGCGCGCCGCTCCTCACTCCTCCTCGTTTCCTCCGACCACTGCTCCTCTGCAGTCTCTCCACATGGACGTGTGGGGCCCCGCCCGCGTCAGTGGGACGGACCAGGAGCGCTACTTCCTGCTGGTCGTTGACGACTACACGCGCTACACCACTGTCTTCCCCCTGCGCAGCAAGGCGGACGTCAGCGGTGTTTTGATTCCCTGGATCCGCGCTACTCGTCACCAGCTGCGCGAGCGGTTTCGGCGGTACCTTCCAGTCCTGCGTCTGCACTCTGACAGGGGTGGTGAGTTCTCTTCCGGCCTCCTTGCGGGGTTCTGTCGAGACGAGGGCATCATCCAGTCGTTCACGCTTCCGGCCTCTCCGCAGCAAAATGGGATTGTTGAGCGTCGCATTGGCTTGATCATGGAGGTTGCTCATACCTCCATGATCCATGTGGCTGCTCCCCATTTTCTGTGGCCGTTTGCGGTCCGATACGCTGCGCATCAGCTCAACGGCTGGCCCCGTGTCTCTTTGCCAGAGACCTCGCCCACACTCCGTTGGACGTGAGAGGTTGGAGATGCGTCGGCGTTTCGGGTCTGGGGCGCGCTCTCCCTTGTCCGCGATACCACCGCGAGCAAGCTCTCTCCTCGCACTCTCCGCTGCGCCTTCCTGGGCTTCCCCACCGACGCCCCGCCGTGGCAGTTTTACTACCCTCGCTCGCGTCGCGTGTTCTCCTCCCAGGACGTCACCTTTGACGAGTCGGTCTGTTTCTACAGGCTCCACCCGCACGTGTCCCATTCGGTCCCCCTGGCGCCTCTCTTCCTAGTACCAGTCCCCCCCCCCGGTAGACCCCCTCCCCCCACAGGGTCCTGCTCCCTCAGGTGTGTTTCAGGTAGACCCACCCTCCTTGGTTGAGCCTTTGGAGATCTCTTCTGACTCAAATGGCCCGGCTGAGGGGGGTGACCTTGCCGCTGACGACACGGCGGCCACTCGTCGCTCTCCACGCTTGAAGACTCCTCCTGGTTTTCCGCCTCGACCGTCTTCACCACCTCTGCAGCCTGTAGCTGTGGACACTGGAGGCAGCGAGCGGCATCAACGCCAGTTGCAGTAACGACGATCAAGATCAAGCCCGTCAATCCGCCCCCGTTTAATCCTACGGACAAGACGGTTACAGTAAAAGGGTGGCTGTTCGGGGTCGAGGTCTTCTTCACTGCAGCAGGAGTTAATGACAACGCCACGCGTATTAATTACGCGGTTTCGCTTCTTCGAGGTGCAGCGCTTGAATGGTGGCGCCGAACCTTGGAAACGGGGACGCCGACAGGTGTGATGCATGCGGCAGACGGGACCTCAACAGTGACTAATCAAGTGGCAGAACCGATCTTCGGAGTGACCACGATACGCACGTGGAAGGAGTGGGGCGCAGCCTTACGAGATCGCTTCGAGCACGTATCCGCCTCGGAGCAAGAAGCTGCGTGCATGGTCGCAGATGGCTTCTGTCCAAGACTACACGGCGTCATCTATGGGCCTCGCCGACCAAGTGGATGACATGTCGGAAGCAGAGCGGTTGGATAAATATATCAGCGGCCTCAAATACGAGATACAATACGAGGTTCGCAGGGGCCGCCCGACATCATTCCTTGAAGCAGTACGGTTGGCGGAGTCAACGGATGCGCTGATGCAGTACGCGAGAACGGCTTCCAGGGATGTAAACCGTTTTCGTGGCCAGACCCATCGGGCCACAATCAACGCCGTCCATACACCCGACAGCCCTCCTAAGGGACCGTGTTACCGGTGTGGGAAGACGGGTCACTACATGAGAGACTGCCACGAGAAAACGCCGCTGACGGGGAACGACGGGAAGGAGCAGGGAAATGGGAAGAGTCAGTAATTAGCGGGCCATTTACTGACTGTGCTCCGTCGCCCGAACCCCACCATCCCCACCGAGTCGTGGTTCCGATTCATGCAATCGATCGCACTCGGCCGAATAACGGGGATACACATGTGGATCACCCTGTGCTGGTCGCTGGCAAGGTGTTAAAAAATAACTTGAAAATGTTCGTCGATGGATAGGCCAGCCATAGCCTCTTCAACTTGGCGAGCGCAAAAAATGCAAGCTGCAACTTGACAGGTGTCTGCCCGAAATCGACGCTCGCCTCGTGGATGGGACGCCTCTTGCGATAACGGAAGAAACACGGACGGTCAGGATCGAATGCGGCGACAATTTCGGCTTCAGCATGAAGTTCCTCGCGACAACACTGGACGGCTGCGACGTAC